TCGACGATGAACCGCAAGAGTATCCAAGCTTGCTGCCTCCTCCTCGCGCAAGCGCTCCAACTTTCTCTCTGCCTGTTCAACCTGCGACTTCAATGCTTGAATATGGGCGATGGTGTCGGATATCTGCGCTTCTATGACTCGTAGTTTCGCATTGGTGGGTGCCATGGACTCCAGGATTATCTCTCTTTCTTGGTCGGTAGGCGGTCGATTGGTTTTGAGCAACGTCTCTAGGACTGAATGACCTGGGATATAACATCAATGGGGCTTAGAAGTCACAGATGGCTCCTTCCCCCGGGACTCACTGGATAAAGAGACTTGATCCATGATTTACCGTTTCCAAAAGTTTCTGGATAGAGAGTTCGAGGGCAAGTTGAAGGCAACTGATATCGATGTAGAATTCAACGTGTGGGTTGGACTCCGAATCTTAGTTCTCCCACGCCACTTACGTAAATTTGCAGCGTGTCCGGTGTCTGTTCTTGAAGAGAGCACGCAGTGCGCACGCCCCCAATCTTGACGCGGCGCATGTTCGGCGCGAGCGAACAGTCCTGCTTAGAGAGAATGTCCACCGCGATCGCAGGCACCTCGCAGCAGATCGCGGTTCCTCGGCGTGCCGCGGGAATGGGGTGTCCAAGGGGCGTCGCGCAGACGCGTCCACACCAGTTTAGCGTTAAATAGGTCGGGTCCGGGCGCGGCGACGTGTGGTAGGATCGCTTCGATGATTCGCGGGCTGGGCAATGAGGCAGACGCAAGCGGACGCCTCATGCGCCCATCCTGGTCGTCATGTTGAATGCGGATGCGACCCCGCGCGGGCAGTTGTTACTCGCTGTGTATGCACAGAGCACCCAAGACACAGCTAAATATACAAAAGCGCAGCGTCCAGGCGGGCGGCACCGCGGATAAATAGAGTATTGCGGGTATTATGCAGTTGCAGTCTAACTGAATATATTGTTTAATCTGAAAGATTGATTTTCAGAAATAGTATATCATACATTGTAGCGTTAATACTTCATTGTCTTTCGTGATCAAGCTTTCAAGTCGTCTGACTCAGTCGTCCGTATGAACAGCAGTGTCCATGAATCAACATTGGATCCTTCTGATATCTCTTGATATTTATCGGATTGCGCTGCAACCAGAGCAACCTTTTCGGAACACCGTTGTGATTTGTTTGAACGAAGCGCCCCATGGCTTTGAGCTGCGCGCGGTACACTCGCCCGGCAACCCCGTCACCAAAATCCTGCGTCCATTCCCATGTCATTGAAAGCGTGTGATAAAGCAGCCAGACTCTGCGTACCCATTGCCGAATGATCGCAAGGTATACCTCTATCGCGCTCACAATTCCCAGCAGGGGGGGCCAGTGCGGATCTGGTCGCATTTCAGCAAGGGCATTTTGCAGCTCCGGAGTGGGCGTTGCGTGAGGAAGATACGAGTGCACCATAACCGCGAACTCTACACCGTCTGCAGGTAACGGGAAATAGGAAGACATTAAGACATGACCCTGGGATCGAAATAAATTTGCAGACGCACTCGGCATGGGTGGGTAGTCCTTACCAAGCCACCATCCCCTTGGCTTGCTGTGTGCCTTCTTTTTTATAGGGCTGATTAACAAAGTCGATAATTGAGCACTCCAAGTAGCCCGGTCAATATGGTAGACCTGAGACCGGTCGGAATCCACAAGAAAATCAGGAAGCGAGGCATGGAGGAACTCGACATGATTCCGATCCATATCATAGGTGAGGACTGGTGTCAAAACAGCCAACGCGACCTTGATTTCAGCTCTAGTCATAGTACCACACATAATTTGTAGCGCATCACTTGTCCAGGTCAACGGCCTAGTGAACATTTGCCATGCGAGAACAAAGGAGGTGGCTTGAATATCCACGACTTGGGAGAAAATATGTCGGTACAAAGCATCGAGCTGTGCAAATGGCGTCAAGCTGCCGGACGGTCGGAGTCCAAGCACAATCTTGAGCTGCTGGGCTGGGTGCTGGTTGGGATCGGATATGAATTTTATCACGACTGATGCATAGATGAACTGCCCCGAAGCCTTCTGTAGAATCTTGGCTATATCTGCCTGCGCTGGCCAATTGCTTTCGCGGAGTTCCCTTCCGAAAGGATGGGTGGATCTTATCGTCGTAAAGGACTCATTAAGGAGGATGAGTATGTCTCTATCCGCGCGGTAGTCAGTATCCAACGGTAATTGAAGAAGAATATCTGAGAGTGCGGGCGACCTGAATTCAGTGTAGAGCTGATTCTCGACGCGGCTTCCGAAAAACGCGATCAAAGGAAAGGCTTGTTTCTTGATAAACTTGGTGATAATTTGGATGAGTTTCACTTGTTCTCCATGACCAGTACACTCATCAACGCCATCGAGCAGGAAAACTAATGTCTTTTGCTTCCTCGAAGACTCCTTCTGAAGTTGGAGGAGGGGGCCAAAGATGAGCGTCTCGAATTGTGTCTCGAGGGATTTGTTAAAGATGAGTGCGTCCGCCTGAATCCTTGGGATAATTATCGACTGCAACTCTGGTATGCTCTCCATAAGTTGATAAGCGAGAGTAGCAACAACAGGATTCAGGCCATTTCGCGTAGAGTCGGTCCGGAAGAAAAAGAATCGGGCGATAGGAATGCCCAGCGATAGACACCGTTCGACAATAGATCGTCCTATCGCGGATTTTCCAGCCCCCGCGGCACCGTTGAGCCACAATACATCTTTGATCCTTTTCTCGATGCATCTCATAATATCGTCAAGGACCGCCTGGCGGGTGTGGGGGTGGCATTTCGGTGCGTCCACGCTGTCGTTCGAGTCGAAAGCTGTTGTGGCTACGTGCGCCTGCAAATGCTTGAATCCGTCTGCGTGGAGGCATCACAGCGTGAAAACATGTTATCGGCGCTCCCAATTTCGATACAAAGCATAACATACCGTCCGCATCAGCGCATATGTGCCCCATCGATCCTTGGAAAGTAGGTACCGGTCCGAGTCGGCCACGAGTCGCATCGCCGCTGCTTCTCCGTCCAGCTTGCGAGGCTGCGGTGGATTGCAGTCGTCCACGGTCACTGGCTGGCTTGTTTTTTCGAGGCATTGTCGGAGACGATGGTGGAATGGGTAGTAAGACGTGCCGTGAGGCATGTTAGGCATGAATCAACAGGCAGTGCGAATACGGATGGTGTGCAATGCAGTGCAATTTGGACATGACCCTGCTGGGATCATCATTGCATTTCTATTTCCAGGTCAATGAATGAATGATACTATCATTGGGCGATACACCTGCGAATCGTGCAATCCCTTTACTATGAAACTGTATTCTCAATTCATTTATAGACCTAGTAGACCTTCAGTTGGAATGAGTATCGGGCTGATTCACCCTTGCTAATAACGAGTACTAAGTAGACACGCACTCGCAGGGACGCGGTCACACGCGGCGGACACGCGCAGCGGGTAAGCGGGCTATGCATGGTACGTGTCGGGTCCGCGGCGAGGACGGCCGCTTGGGCGTGTACAGCAGGTCGACGTAGCTCGTCGCCGCGTGTTTCGCGTTGCGACGATGCTGGCGCTGCAGGGCCATCGCGGGCCGAGCAGCCGTGCGCTGTGCGTGCGCGTCTTGGACGCGGCGTAGAGGGCCGGGTAGCCTCTACTTATTGCTAGGTGAGCATCTGAATTCGATAGAGCCGCGCAAGAGCGGATATAAGAATATAAGATGGCGCGCCTCGTGTTTCTTGCGCTCGTAGGTACGCCCGCGCTATCTTGGCAGTACTTGTCCAGGCGTGACTGTGGGCGATCGCGCTCCTCGTGCACATGGCGGCGCGACGGAGGGTCTGCGCGTTGGGCGCAGACGGTTTGTATGCTACGTCTCCGGCGGATGGCACAGCCAGCACTTCTGCGTTCAGTGCGCGGTGGTAATAACTGGTCTTGAACTGGTCGTCGGTGCGTGCAACCATACTTATCTGGACCACGCGCGCGCAGTTGTAAGCCGAGCACGCCTACAAATAGCAGCGGCACACGCATAATAAGTACTACAGCATTCCGTCAACGAGATAGAGTAGAATACCTGCGGTTGGATGAGCATACGTTTTAAGCGCAGAGAAAAACCACTCACCGCTACTCACGAACAACCATCGCCGAGGCACGCCGCAGCACTACCCATCCTTTCCCACTACCGGCCCCCGTGCCATCTCCACACATGTTCGACCTTCGGCGCGCTGGTCGCGGGATGGACGACACTGTCCAATATCACAAACAAGGCGCAGAACATGGCCAGAATTTCGGAGAGTGTGCTCGGTCGGCCAGCACGAGAGGCGCGTCGGCGTGAGCGTCCGGTCCAGTGGCACTGTTGAGAGGACGTTGAAATTCTGTTGCTGGAGGACTTTCATTGGTGCAGAGATGGTACGGAACATAACAGACGCCCGCGCTGTCCAGTAGCGCGTTAACAGTCTGCGCGTTGTGCACATTGAACGTTGAACGTTGAGCGCCATCGCGTCTGTACCTCCCGGGGATGAGACTTCCGCGCGCAAGAGGCTACTCGATCTTCTCCTTCTAGGTCGTTATACACGGAGCGATGTTGTCGAGGCTAGACATGCCAGGGAAGCTCGCGCCGGGGATAGCGTGCATGGTTCTGACGAGGTCGAACGCGCTTGAGCGCGTGCTGCAGGACACCGTATCCCGCAGTCGTGTAGTTTGCGCCGGCGAGCTGGGAGTCATTACTAGGAGCTGCATAGTCATGCCTCTGACGCAGCGCGGTGCCTCTGACGCAGAGGGCTTTCAGTGCGTCGTGGTGACTGGTCAATGTCTAAGCCGCGTGCGCCTCATTGATGCGTCAACCGACCGTGACCGTGCGCTGAGAGACGCGCTGGTTCGGACGGGACGCGCACTGTGCTGGGCTGTGTACTTGGACACTCTTCTACATTGAGGGAGAGCTGTGGATACCATTTGCGATAGCAAGTGGACAACGTGTCCCAAGCGTGTCCGGCCCGCGGCGCCAGTGTGGCGTGGGTACTTTGTACTTGGAGGCCGGCTAGGTCAGTTGGTAGAGCGTCGTGCTAATGACACGAATGTCTTGGGTCCGAACCTCAAGCGGGCCATATGTATTAGCCATATGTTTTGCTGCATGAGTCGTTCAATTGACTCATTCATGATTTCCTAAATTCCTGCTAGGCCCCGCATCTACATATGACCTAAACGTAAACGCGTAAACTTTTATGCATGATGCTCCAATTCCCTCCCGGACAATCCTGACCGCAGTCCTCGCTAGTCCTCGCCTGCCCTTCGCTCCACTGCACACACATGTCCCGACGCGCGTCCTTCTCGAATTATCCACTCCTCCGCCCAACACCACGCGAGTTCTGATGAACCACGATCAAGCGGAGAGCGTCCCGCTTTTACGGTCCCGCCTCCCTGGTACCTGCCAGCACCTCCGTCGACGCCTGCGCAGAGCGTTCTGTGGTATCCGCGGGTGGACATACCACGTGTCGCTCGAGGATACCGCTGGTTAGCGCGCCAGCGTCGCATCCGTGGACCCATCTAGCGCTCACCGCGCGTTCACCTGCTGTCTGGAATCCAATCCAAGCGCGGCGCTGTTGATACGACCCTTGCGCGCTGCCGTCTGCGCGCCCATCGCCAATTGCTCGCACCTGCCGCCGAAATCTCCACGCTCCATCGAAATATTCGCACTCGGCGCGCTGAGTGGCAGCACGGCGCTGACGTACGTTCTGTGTCGTGCACTACGCGACGCACCATCATATCTGGAAGGGGGCGCAGCGTCCAGCGAGATTTCAACGGACGCGGCGTACGCGAGGGCGCGGGAATCTCCTCCCAGACACGCGCCATTGCACCAGACGCCAACGCCGAGCATCTCTCCCGTACGCATGTCCCTCTCTTGTCTGTCGGACTCTGTCCACCCGAGCGCCGGTGCAGAAGCGCCGACTCATTACAGAGAATCACGCGGCGGGCCAAATTCAAGCCGCTGCTCACCGTGAGCCTGACGCGTATTAGCCTGAGAAACTGCGCATCAAGTAAACGATTGCGCTCAAGGCAGGGACGGCGGGCGACCACGTGTGTGGGCCTGACCAACCATCGGTTCTGAATAACTACGTTGTCCCGAAGCGGCGCTCGTACGCCTGTGAGTGGTTCGCCCCGGCGTTCGGTCAGCATGGCGATCAGCGTGGTTCGACAGGGGATGGTACGGAAAGACGCACATCACGCATGCGCTCCTCGGCGCTCATCGCGTTGGTCTGGTACTAGAGTGTATCAAAGCCCAGTGATCAAACGAACAACAACGACAGGCTTTGAATTCGGCCAGCCGTGCGGGATGTGCGTGTCAACCGAGTGGCATGGCTCGCGCTGTCGTTCTGAATGTACCGCGGTCTCATATATAAACACTGCTGAACCGCGCTCTTTCCACAGAAAAAATAGGGTATATGGAATTGAACTCTGCCCGAGCCTCACGGCTTCCCACCCGCCCCGTACATCACACGCGTCGCAATCCCGCCCCCACCGCCCAGATATACAGAGATGTAGAGCGCATATTCACGACACATATATTTTAGTATGTATAGCAAATCGATATATGAAATACCATGCACACCTCCGAAGGGCGTCAGGAATATGTGAATAACTGAGGTATGAGGTTGGTAAAGGCGGAAATAAAGTAGGACAGAATGAAACACAGACAAAGCGAGAAGAGTATAAAGCGAAAAGGGTGCGATAAGAGTCCTGTACTAGACATTGATGTCGATTCGGAATGCTTTATATCCTGTCCACATCCCGTCAGTTTGCGTTCGATTAACCACCTATAGGCAACGCACCTTGGGCTCAGAATCCGCGCATATTTCTTCGGTAACAGCGGTAGTCTCCGCTGGCTGACTCTCGCCTTCAGCTTGACCCTTGATCTGTGCACGGAAAAACATCATTCGATTCCCGCTGCTACACACTTCTGGATATATGCGCACCTTCTGCAGCGCATTCCTGCATTGAGAGAGCGCCTCGAGAGCGTTGTCATATTCCTGCTGCGCGGCTGCCATGGTTTGCTGCGCCTTTTTCACGCGTTCCGTGGCGTTTTCGAATCTCGCAGGGGCTAGATAATCGGATATATCAAATTTGCCGCTGAAAGCGCTCGCCAGCGTTTCAGGGCCCAGCTCGTGTCCACATCGGAGGAGGTATTTCACGCAACTATCCAGTGCCTGCCGGTTTACTGCATCGCCAAAATCCTGAATGGGTGATATCGTTTTTAGTATTACAGAATATGGAGGGATCAATATATATGCCACGACGCACCATTCGATGCAGAGTTTCAAGGTAATAGACCCAGTCCGAAGAATACTCCATGGACACACCTTCAACACAATCTGGGTCTGCAAGCCTGGTGTGAAATGCAATATATGCTTCGCGCAATTCCGGGCTGGGTTTTACGTAGGCAAAGAAAGGTGTGATGTTCTCGATGTCTGCGGATATATGAGTCTCCTTCCACTCAGATCGAGAAAGAACACGTACATGGATGCATAGTGTGTTTTACGCCGAGCCAAGAGGTCAATATACGTGTACTGTATGTGGCCCGATCAATGTGATACCGCCCCGAGCGTGCGGGATCAAGCAGGAAATCCGGGAGTGAAGCGTGGAGAAACTCCACCGTTGAACTAAATAAATCGGTACCGTGGCTGACAACAGACGACAAATCGGCGAGGGAAAGAGATAATTTACCGCCCCACAAGTCAAGGCCTTGCATGATGTACCAGATAATACTACTAGGGCTTCCAATAACAACGTAAGCCAGGACCATCATCGTCAAGTCGAGGTCCTGTACTTGAGAGAGTATGTGGTGGTATAAAGCATCGAGCTGGGCGAAGGGCGTCAAGGAACCAGCTGGTTTCAGCCCGCGCACAATGTCAAGCTGTGAGACAGGGTTGGAGCGAGGGACAGAGATGAATTTTATGACGACTGAACTATATATGAATTGGCCTGACGATTTCGTGACGATTTCTTGCACAAGCGCCGGTGCAGGCCATTCGTCCGGAATGAGGTGTTTGAAGGGGTGAGAGGCATGTATGTCAGCGAAGCTGTCGTCTAAAAATGTGCGGATATCCTCATCAGGCAGATAGTGTGCATCCAGTGCGAGCGGGTAGGTGTTCGTGTATGCCTTTGGCGAATGAAACTGGGCCTTGATCTGATTTTCCGGTCTACTCGCGAACAGGACAATTATTGGAATGGTATTTGATTGGAGGAGGCGAATGAGCGTGCTGATGAGCGTTCCTTGGTTCGCGTCTCCTTCGCATTCGTCCACGCCGTCGACCAGGAAAAGGATCGCCTTCTGGAAAGGTGATTCTAGGTGGAGCTGGCGAAGGGGCTCGTAGATAAGCGTCTCGAATTGCGTCTCAAAGGATTGCTTGAAGATGAGCGGATCGGCTTGGATTCGTGGGATAACGAGTGAAGCGAGATCGGGGATTTGTTTAATGAGCTGATTGACGAGCGTTGCGACGACGGGATGGATAGCATTTCGGTACGGGTCTGTGCGGAAGAAGAAGAATCTGGCGATGACGACGTGCTCCTGGAGACAGTGCTCCACGATAGAGCGGCATATGGCTGACTTCCCAGCACCCGCGGCGCCATAGAGCCATAATACCCAGTGAATGCGAGTGGTCAAAAGGATGATCCAGTTCCATGTGTCGTCGAGAACGGCGGTGCGCGTATTGGGGTGGCACTTTGGTGCGTCACCCGCCTGTTGTGTAGCGTATGCGGTGGGCGCGACGTGCGCCTGGAGATGTTTGAATCCATCTTGATCACAGTCAGGTCGGAGGCACCATAGAGCATAGACACCTGGATGAGAGCTCACCGTCAGCCTCGTGGCAATGATGTAAGGCCTGCGATGTCTGATTTTGCTGTATAAAGGTCCCTCCTGATATAACCATTCCCCCACCAGGCTGGAACATGTTTGCCTGCGGAGGGCTGTCGTTGGCGACAAGAGGTGGGTATACACTGCTAGATGGCATGTGTAGTCAGAAGAGAGATGTACACACGACTCACGAGCGGCATCGACTGGGAATTACTCTATACTTGTACCCGGCGTGTGATGACATTGACAGGTGTATTGGTGTGGGGGCGGTGCACAGCTGTGCGCATTAGCCTTTAGGGCACTGAGGACGGAGGGGTTTGCGGACAGACGCATGGGCTGCTCGCGCGTGTGGGTTTCGTAGGCGCATTATTAGGTGTGGTGCGCGTCGGCGGGGCGCTAAAGACTTCTCAAGTTCAAAGTTTCTGGCGGAGTGGTTTATTACTATAATTAGCGATGCCGGCGTGACTGAGACTGACTAAGCCACCTTGCCTTGCCTCCTCCCACCATGGTGCGTGCCCCGCTGACCGCGCGCCGACGCGCTGACCGCCGCTTCGCAGGCCGTCTGCCAGTTCTTTCTACGCGGGCAATGTCGCTTCGGCGAGTCGTGCAGGAATGAGCACCCCGCGACGCCGCCCACCTCCGGGTTCGGCAGTGCGTCTCTTTCTCCAACTTTCTCCCCGCGAAATGTGCTGATCACGCCCGCAGACTCCTCCTGGACGCGTAATACTACACCGAGTGCCAACTCTAAGGATGTTCCATTCACGTGCGTTTCTTTCTGTCTAGCCACCGGCTGGCGCTGACTTCAAGCGGTTCGTATGCACTCAGCGCGGCGGCGATCCTGAGCGACCTCTCGGGCGACCAGCCCGTCTGGCTGCTCTCCTCCTATGGCCCCTCAAAGGCAGAGCCGTGCCTTCTCGCGGGAATCGACGAGTCGCCTGAGGAATTGCGTGTCAAGTACACGCTTGCGGTGAAGGCGGGAACGGGGAATGAATACGTGCGTGCGTTTGCCCGAGCCACCGATCTCTGAATGTCGACGTTTGTACACAGCTTCAATACGAGAACAATGCGATGAGCGCCGCGGATCGGGTGCGCGAGGTGTGTCTTTCCCTCTTATCATCTATCGAACCACGCTGACCCCGAAACTGCAGAACGCCCGCTCGAATCACCACCAGGCGTACGAGCAGGCGCTGCGGAACAGCGCCCAGGGATCGAGTCCCCCCGCCGCCTCTACTTCTGCATTCGGCAGCACCTCCACCC